GGGGGGGGGGAGGAGGGGCTGTTGAAGAGAGAGAGAGAGAGATTGTTGTGCTCGATGAGAGAAAACAGAGATCGAGAGGGTAAGTGAGAGCGCCAGAGTAGGAGAGGAGAGTGAGCCGAGAAAGAAGCGCGGTAGAGAAAGGAGGGAGAGGGAGGGGGGATGAGTGATGTGTGATGAGAGGAGGAGGAGAGTAGATAGAAGCAAGGCGTTGACGACGACGACGACGACGACGACCAAGACGACGAGGAGAGAGAGAGAGAGAGAGAGAGAGAGAAAGCGACGATACGAGTCGAGGAGAGTAAGAGAGGGGCGCAGGTTTGGCTCTTGTGCGCCTTCCCCCCCCCCCTCCTTTCCCTCCTTTCTTTCTTCTCCACTCTCTCTTCTCTACTCGTCCTCTGCTCAACGCCCGCCTCGCCTTTCAAGGTGGTCAACAACAACAAACAGAAGCGCGAAGCTTATCCTGGTGGTTCTTCTTCTCGCTCCACGCCACGGTCTATCTCTCTGTTGTTTTCGAGCTGCACCTGCCACCACCCAGGCCGCCAGAGGCCCCGAGGGCGTCTCGAGTCTCGACATGTGCGAGCAGAGGAAAAAAGAAGATCACAAGATCTATTTGAAGATCACAAGATTTGCAGTCAGCCTTCTTTCTCCTACTGCTCCTCTCGGCGACGAGGCGCGAGGGGGGGCATGGCCGGCATGCCAAAAACAAAGGCATGGGGCAATCGCCGGCGTGTCCCCGGGCGCAATGACGACGTCGTCACGGCAAACAACGCTGCGCAGATCAGTCTGCTCTCTTCGCACTCCCCCTTCTCACTTCGCACTTGCTCTTCTTTTCTCCTCAGACAGACACGCCTTCTGCCACCGAATCTACCGTCGGCGTCGGCCAAGCCTGCACGCTTCAGTCGACAACCCGACAACACGACGGGCATCACTTCCGTAGGCTAGAAATTCCACAACTCTCCTTGCACTGCCGCGTGTCGCACCCCCGACCGACGATCCGACCAGCACGGCGTGACACCGATCCCCTCGGCGCCTCGGCCGCTCGCGCTCGATCTGCTCGTGTCAGGAATGCCGCGCGCCGCACGTGGACCCGCGGATCCCGATGGCGATGTCGGGTTTCGACTCCGAGGGGACGCGCGCGGCGCCACAGACCGAAGACCGAGGTGTGGAGTGCTCGTGGTATTGTGGCGATTTTGCAGGGGCGGGGTAGGTCATGGGCCAATTTGTCGTGCTGGCAGCTGACGGCTACAGTGTCGTCCTTTAATGCTACAATTTCCGGCAGCACACCCCTCGATCTCTGATCGCTTTGATCGATGCATTTCCCCCGCTGAGCCGAGCTGCGCGACGCGGCTTGATCGAGCTGTTGCAGACGTGCTGCGGCAGTATTTGAGGCACGCGTCGCACGCGCTCAGCTGCAATCTAGCCCATCCCCGCCATCCGGCCATCCGGGCCCATCTTTAATTTCGGTGAGCGCAGCAACAGTCTCCGCGCTCCTCTCAATTGGTGGTCACGTCGAGCTCAAGCCAGCCTTTGCGGTTCCAAGTCGGCATGCTGGCCTAGAATGCTCAGTATTAGGCCACTGAACAGCAGAAGGGACCAATGAGTAGTTCCACATATCCCATTGCCTCCAGCCGTGCCAATGCAGCAGTAATCATGTGGGTGACATGCCACTGGAATCTACCACGTGGACAAGTGGACACAGTGATACCGATATACCGGGATGCGGAAAGCGGGAATGCGGGAATGCGGGAATGCCCCCCTTCCACACATTCCAGAGCTTGATGCACTCGTGTCGTGTCCCCGTGCTCCCGCGTCCTCGCGCTATTGTCTACTTGTGTCATTTTGTGTGGTCGAGTGGCAAGTGGGGTATACAGAGGATGCGAGGCCCGACACGGCGTTGGAAAGCTGCACCGCGCCACGCTGGCTATCTGTCGCAGCACGCATAGAGGCACATGATCCACACATGGTTTACGCCGAATGATCATGTGCATGCAGAACCAGTTCATCTCGTGATTCATCGTACTTCCGCATGTTACAATACATGCACACTGCCCATAGTATATACAGCACTGTTGTTACCCAGCAACGATCAACATATCTTCCAGTCTCGTAGACTCACCTGTCCTCCACAATGACAACGACTGCTGGACGCAATGTGAGCGTGTGTACTGACAAAGGAGGGTACATGAGGTCGGACTGCTTGAGCGAGCATGGACGAGTCTTGACGAGCCGTATGTGAGAGTGCGGCCATGATCTGGAAGAAATGACAGTGGATATGTACAAGGAAGATGTACGTGCAGTACAATGCAGATCAAGAGATTGCTACTGAGTACAGAGGGAGGAGCTCCCCTTATAAGGCTCCGGACAATCCTCGTGTCTCACGTCCGGTGCGAGCTGTACGGGAACAAGCTACAGCAGAAACGCCCACACGTCCGAGCCCGCATCGGGGGGCTGCAAGGGTGTCCCGGCGCTAAGGGATGGGAGAGGGGGGTGGGCAGAGTGGAGTGGAGTGGAGTCGCGGAAGGGTGCCACCGGTGGCGCCAAAGAGTAAGACGGCGCATGTGAGTGATCGTGATCGCAGACTGCTGACAGCAGTCTGTCACGCCTAGGAGAGGCCCAAGATTGGGGGCTCGAGTCTGGCGGGGCAAGGTCTGAGTCATGTTATCAGCAGGATAGGTATACAGACGAAACAATTGTCATTGTGACGATCCGACCAACAACGACCACAGAGCACCGACTACACGTGTTGACCATGTGGCATCCACCAAGCGATAACTATGCATCACGATCACAGGACACTCCACAGTTCATTACAGGTCTGTACTGATCAGTACCTATGTCGATACCGTTCACATCGCATCGTCACATACTTAGCGTTGCCTAGGATCTTTTCCCCCTAACTCTTGATGCTATGTCGTATTCTCACCCTGTCATAGTATTATAGTCCTTATTGCACGTCTATCACAGTTATTGACTTCAAGTCAACAGGGTGGTGGAGCGGCATCCGGTGTACGGACACCTTTGTGCTCAACCACTCCCTAGCCTCCGCCTTTCCGAACGGCACAGGGCCTGACAGTTATGGTATGTCTATGAAGTAGAGGTATTATATATGGGTTGGTTCGTCTGAATAATATGCGGAACCGTCGTACGGCGAGGAGGAGGCTCAGTATCACGACAATGACATGTATTTAGATGTGACGTATTGGTGACATGTCGTGACACAGTCACATATCCTGTTCATAATTCCGCGGCGGCTGAGAAATGAAAACCGTCCATGCAGCAACTCGATGCAAAGATTTGATCCAAATTGCGCTGGCGGGCGTGCGTCTCAGCTCTCATGCAGGACCAGCTTTGTGCATTACGGGTGTCTATTTGAAGGAGATATTCAGTCGACAATCAGATTGAAATTGAGCGAAGTGGAGGTGCAGCCTGCTGGACGCGGGAGGGCATCAAATGGGGGGACCATTTATTCTGCATTGGGTCGAGAAACACAAACACTACACAGCAACACGATGTTCTGTACTCGTACGACTCTGCTCTCTTTCTACCATCACCAAACGTTCCAATGGCGACATCCTCAGCATCAGCACCATCCCGTCCAGTCCTGTCACAAAAGCTGCAGACCATGTTCGATGAGGCGGTCTGTGAAGACGACGGATTGCTTTTCCCAGAGTATATGTCTTCCTTCCCACGTGCGGAGTGGACCGGTTCAAGCTTGCCTGGGCCCTTCTTTGAACCGACAGGAGAAGAAGATCGCAAAGTCGTCTATGCCGCTCGCAAGTGCAGCAAGAAATGGTCTCAAGCTTTGGACACTGGAGAACTCGGTGATCTGAGCCTGGGCGACTTTGCGCTCGCCGTGTTCGACAAGGTAGACCAATTGTAAGTGTCCATATCTCGGTCAGCACTGCAGCTGACAATGCTGCAGGAATAGTCATCTTCGCGCCGACCGTTCAGATACGGGTCTAGTCTACGTCACGCCCGAGGTATGGCTGGAGACGATCAATCTTCTTATCGACTACGCTCTCAGCTTGGTAAGTGACATCGCCCTGTCTGTCGTCTTCCAGCTTTTCATTTCGCCCTCCTGCCAGCTCCTTGAGCTCTAACACCAGTGCTTTTACATTTTGGAGGACGCGTTTCCCGACTCGCCGCTCGTCGACGCCTGCGACGACCCCGACACCATTGTCCCCTTCGTATACAGCGCCATGGCCCTGCAGTGGGAATGGGATTTCGACAGCTGGGGCGAGGATCCGCCCAAGGCTGACCCATACAACACCGCATTCGTCGACAAATATATTCCCGACCCCGCGAGTCTTCCACCATGTCCGAGCACCAAGGCGAATCTCCTGAACCCAGACGCACCGCCCCACATCATTTGGAGGCGTTGGGATGGTGAGGAGGTCCCGTGGCCCAAGGATGTGGCTATCCACTTCCGCGGCGACCCCGAGTCTTACACCGAGGCCCAATGCAACGCCAAGTTTCACAACGCTTGCGACCCTGTGTCATCGTGCTCCCCGTTGCACTCGTCGCCGTCAATCACCTCATCCGTTGGAGAGACCTCGGCGTCTCCATCCACCGATCGCCCTCCGCCGCCGGCAAATACGCCTATCAAGCCTCGTTATGAATTGTGATCGATAAACCCGACCTTGACGGAAGGAATTCTCAACCTTCCTCTGTCTTTCCGGACATACCTCACGCCAACTCAAAACTCATTCACGGGATCCTGTTATCACCGACGCCCCCGTGCTCGAGAGGAGCTCCGTTGCCGCGCATCTGTCGAATCCACCATCCTGGGGCTCCACGCCCTGAGTAGACCTCGCGCGTCTTTCGACAAAGACATCTTCCAAACTCTGGCGATGCTGCATTGTTACTCCACCGGCGAAAGCAAGGCCTTTGTTGATACATTCGATCGATTGCATATCCGCGCGAGCACACGGGAACGGCATCACGTAGGGAGAGTTGCATGATCATCGTCCGGCCCGTGTAAATCCCCCTAGCTTGGGGCACACGAAAATAACCAACTCCAGTACCAACTTGATTGTGGCCAAGATGCCATCATGTGCTGCCGCCGGCATCCTACACCTCATAACCCACACTTCAAAACATGTGCACGTGACGCATGTGCCACTTCCACAAGCTGCCACAACCACTCATGACCCTAAGCCCCTGAGGCCCTAAGGTCCGGGCCTGCCGAAAGAATTGACGTCACAACACGTGTCCTCCGCAGCCCCTCCACTCTCCCACGCGTCTCTCCGCAGTCCCGGCCTCCAGCCTCTAACAGACGCGCAAGATGTCATCTGCGTCCAAACTCTTGACACCGCCCATATCCAGCATGTTCATACCCCTCCGCGGTTGGCGTGCCGTGCGTGCGCTCCCATGCGCCTCACGAGCATATCTCGCTCGCGGCCTCGCGACGGTCCGCGACACCCCGCCGGCCGAGACCAAGCCGTGAGTCACCCCGCTGCCCCGCTGACCTCAGGCCGACGGGTACGTCGCCCTCCCGCGCAAACTAACCCCAGCCGTCGTGATGATGAACATGGGCGGCCCCTCGACGCTAGACGAGGTCCACTCGTTCCTCTCGAACCTCTTTCACGACAGCGACCTGATCCCGCTCCCGATGCAGAAGCTGCTGGCGCCGCTAATCGCCAAGCGGCGCACGCCCAAGATCGAAGAGCAGTACCGGGAGATTGGAGGCGGCTCGCCCATTCTCCGCTGGACGCGCGCGCAAGGCGAGGGCATGGCTGCGCTCCTCGACGAGCTGAACCCCGAGAGCGCGCCGCACAAAGCCTACGTCGCGTTCCGGTATGCGGCGCCGCTGACGGGCGACGCGATCGCGGAGATGCGCGCGGACGGCGTCACCCGCGCCATTGCGTTTACACAGTACCCGCAGTACTCGTGCTCGACCACCGGGTCGAGCCTTAACGAGCTGTACCGCGTCGCGAAGCAGGAGGGGTGGGGCGCAAACGGCGAGGTCACGTGGAGCGTGATTGACCGCTGGCCGGCGCACCCGGGGCTCGTCAAGGCGTTCGCGGCGAATATCCGCCAGGCGCTCGACAAGTATCCCGCGGAAAGACGAGATGGGGTTGTGCTGTTGTTTTCGGCACACTCGCTGCCTCTGGAGATTGTCAAGTGAGTGATATTTTTGCTCGTGGTAGCGCCGCACCTGGTTGGCGGCGCTCCGCTCTGTCGCAGCTCACCCCACGGCTTAACCACTAACGCCAGCCGTGGCGACACATACACCCCCGAAGTCGCCGCGACAGTACACGCCGTAATGCAGGAGCTGAACTTTTCGAACCCGTGAGTCTCCATTCCATCTCTCCTCCCTGTCCCCCCCCCCCCCCCCCCCCCCCCCCCCCCCCCCGCCCCCCCCCCCCCCCCCTCCTCCACCTTCCCCCTCTATATCCTCCTCCCTGTCCGCCCTCCCTCTCCCTCCCTCCTGCCCCTCTAATATCCCCCCCCTCACACCAGCTACCGCCTGACCTGGCAATCCAAAGTCGGCCCGAAGGCATGGCAAGGCCCGCAAACCGCGGCCATGGTGGAGGGCCTCGCGAAACGCGGCCGCACCGACATCTGCCTCGTACCGATCGCATTCACGAGCGACCACATCGAGACGCTGTTCGAGCTCGACCTCGAGCTGGGCGAGGAGGCCGCCGCGCTCGGCGTGACGCTCACGCGCGCGCCGAGCCTCAACGACTCGCCGATCTTCATCCGCGCGCTCGCGGACATCGTGAGCGCGCACATGCGCGACTTTGACGCCGGCAAGGTCGGCAGCGCGAGCACCCAGCTCATGCTCCGCTGTCCAGAGTGTACGTCGCCCAAGTGCGCGCGGACGAAGCGGTGGGTCGCGCAAGGCGGGCGCGAGGCCGAGGCGTAGTAATAGAGATGCATCACTGCACGGTGCGAGTGTTGGTGGTTGATTTGCGCATGGCATGTGGTAGCGCAGCGCGCTGTCCGCCACCTGTCTCCACCATCTGACCTTGCCGCCCACCCCACATATCACCTCACTCCTTATCAACTTATCAACGGAGACATCCCTCCGATCAGCTTATCTCGGTCAGTCACCGAGAACCCCAACTCATGGAGGCGTCACTCGCGCCACCGCCCCACCAAGAGGCTGCCACGCACCTTCCCACGCCGACAGGCCCGTAAAACAACACCATTGACACTGAAAACAGTCACAAACGTCATAATCCCCTCCACCTCCCCCCTCAAGCATGCGATGATGATGCAGAAACAGAGTAATTACACTTTGTAGATTTTGTGGTACATGTTGGCAGTTGCTTGGACTTGGATGGCAGCAGGGACAGACTCGCGTGACTGAGGATGAGATGATGACTCGTGACTTGGACGAGAGATGGATCAAGGGCGTGGACAGATGTGGGCATGGGCGGGGACGCGGGGCGGTGTGGGCATAGAAAGGTATTGTAAGAACTGCGACTGGGCCGATGCCCATCCACAGCCACCCCTCACCTCACTTAACCCAACGACGCGCCACGACGGTGCTGCCGCGCGGGAGGGCGTGGGCGCGCCGCTTCGTCTTGCGACCCATACCACAACGCGCCAAGCAGATCCTTCGCCGTGTTGGCAATATTGGTCGCGCGACCGATGAGCGTCGACCCATCGTCTTCGTCGACGCCGTCAGACGGCTGCGACAACTCGCCGCGCGCATCGCCCAGGGTCGCCTGGGGAGAAGCGGAGGCGGGCGAGTCGACGAGATTCGGGCGCTCGCCGCTAGGGCCAGCAACAACGCCGACGCCAGCGCCGCCAACAGGCTCAGGTCCTAATCCAGTCGGTCGAGTCGAGGTGTGGGGGAGGGATGCGGGCGAGGTGTCCTTTAACGGCCGAAACACAATCTACTACTGTCAGTCAGTCCAATCGCCTGTCCGGGTCTTGCTTACCTGCGGCGACGAATGCGGGGTGGGAGTCGAGGAGCGGTCCGGAGACGCGTCCACGTCCATAGGCTCGTGCTGAACCTTGTCGACCTGCTGCGAGCGCGGCGCAGTCGTCTTCGAGTTGCCAGCGTCGACAGGGGAGCGAGACACGGAGCCCACAGACGATGCCGACGAGGTTGACGAGCCGCGAGGCACGGGATACCTGTCCCACTGAGACGAGCCACCCTGCCCCCGCGAGGTTGAGCGCCCGCGCCGACCGCCATCTTCAGAAGTCGTCGTCGTCGTAGTCGGGGCTGCGGGCGATCCTATAGCCAGCTGAGCGTTTTCGTATGTGCCGTACATGCCGCCAATACCCGTGGCAACCGAGGGGTTGTAGTTGAAGTGGGCCGGGGGCGAGACGGGCTCGGGTGCTTGCTGCGACGTGACCGGAGCGGCACGAACCTTGAGAATACCCCTGCTGGGCGGCTGGGGCGACGAGGCGCCGATGGGAATAGCAGCGTTGAGCGACGAGGAAGACGACGAAGTGGAAACGCTGCTGGGAGGAACGTCAACCGTCTGGGCCTGGCGCCACCTGGGCTGAGCAGGTGGGGTCTGAACAGCCGGAGCGCGGCCGTATGAGCCGGTACGAGGGCTCGAGCCAAGGAGGTCGGGAGGACCGCCAAAGTAGTCAGAGCCAGAGCTGTCATAGTGGTCATCGTCAAAGGCAGAGTGCCATGGGCGGCTGCCGACCTGGCCGAGAGGCGACTGGGCGCCAAAGGACGAGGGGGCGATGACTGGGGCAATGTCCTCTTCCTGAGGCATGTACTCGACGGGGGGGCGGTGTACAGTCTGGGGCACGGATGGGTTGTTGGCATAAGAGCCAGCCGTCTTGAGCACAGTCGGGGCTATCTTCTTGATGGTCATCGAGCTGTGGCTTTGAGTCGATGAGATCGACGAAGAGCGGCGCCCGCTGGAATATCGCGAGTTGCTGGGGCGCATCTTGATCGCATCGTCGTCTTTCAAGTCTTCGTCCATCATGGCAGAGGATTGCTGGTGCCCAAGGCCCATAGAAGACGGCTGGCCAATGACAATAAAAGGAGGCTGGCTGAGGTTGGGCTCGTCGAGAGCGATGCACTGCTCAACAAAGGTGTTGAAGGTGATCTTTCGACGGTTATTATTCTCCGGCGATGCCTCCTTTGAGCGATTGTTGATGCTCGAGCCGGCACGGACAGAACCGGTGCGCCCCAGAGCACCACCGCGTCTGCGAGCGGGCATCGAGTTGCTGCGATGAAGGTTGCTCTCTGACTTTGTGTGGATGAGGCCAATGCGTGTGGGGACAGTGGGCTCATCCTCGTCAATGGCGTCCGAGTCGTCGAGATCGGGAGAAGTGGGGCCTGGGAGGGAGAGAAGCTCGCTCAATGTCCTGTGCTTGAGAATACCAGGTTTGCCGTGGTTGTTTGGCAGGTCGATGCCAACGCGGTCCTCGGTGGAGGAGATTCGGAGGGGACGAACGGGCTCGACCTTTGCGGTATGCAATGGACCATAAAGCCAGGTGACGTCCGAGTCCTTGAGCCTGTTACGAGTTAGTCATCGTACGTGCGTGGCATGGGATGCGTGTTGATGAGTGGAGTGACAGTGGCTGAGAGATGATGATCGGGGATGGACGGGCGGAAGAGGGCGGAGGTGGCAACGGCTATTCCTCCGGCGCGCTGTGTAACGCACGTTTTCCGGTCCAGCGTTGACGCCATCCACCAACCATCCATCAAAAGCAATGCAACGATGCAGTAATGTAGCACGCAGCAAGCGTTCATGCACCATTCACCACCATGCGCACCACGGGCGGGAGGGGGTGGGAGGATGGATCAACTCACCAATTGAGTGTCTCTGGGGAAATTGTGCGCAGCTTGTTACGCTGCTTGTTCCATGTCCTCCAGCTTGCATTCTCGAGACGGACACCGTTTGCAATTTCGTGCTTGTGGCGGGTCATGTTGCGCCAAGAGGCCCAAACATCTTCCTCTGTCCAGTTATGGGAGAGGTAGTCGACGCAAATGGAAGGGAGACGGTCTTGAATGTCCTCTACCGAGGGAGCGGCACCCGAGTCGCTTGGAAGGGATGTCTGGGGGATGTGTCAGCACGAGGTCAGGTGGTTATGAGAGACGCTTGGTCGGAATGGAGGGCATGGACGGGGCATGGTGGCCAAAACGGGGTGTATTGATGACTCACAATTGAGGGGATTATCTGAGCCATGGTGGACTGTTATGGCGTGGGGGGGTATGAGGGGGGGGGGTGGATGTTGATGATGGATGATGTTGGTAGAAGTTACAAGGAGTGGGTGAGTGACCTCGGGGTAGTTGGATGGTGGGGGAGGAGTGAGGAGTGAGGAGGTTGATGGAAACGGATCTCTCGAGGTGGTTGGTGGTGGTTGGTGGTGGATGGGTGGATGTGCGGGGCAAGGGTGTGGAGTCGGGGGTGGGGCGGTCCTAGTGCAAGGGGGGGGGCAAGGGGTTGGTGGAGGAGGGAGGGGGAGGGGATGGTTGTTGAAGTGATGCTAGTAGATGACGAAGAGAGGGGTATTGATGATGAGGAGAGGTTAGAGTAAGAGGATGATTGAGAGAGAGAGAGAGAGACGACGATGAGGACGACGAGGACGAGGACGAGGAGATGGATGTTGTTGGAGGAAGGTGCGAGGGGGGGAGGATGACTGAGGAGAGTGACCCCTCTCTCAGGTCAGGGCTTCTCCACCCAGTGAATAAATGGAGGGGGCCGAATAATTATAAGCTCTACGGTGGCAGGGTGGCAGGGGGGGGGGCCTAAAGAGGGCCACAGAGCGGCCTTGATGAGTCCGACCTCCTTCTCCAACACAACTTGACTGATCCCTCCACTTGGCCTCCTCATTCTTCTGTCTACGCATCCCCTCGCCCCTGCTCCGAGCTCTCCGCATCTCCGCATCTCCCCTCTCTCTCTCTGTCTCTCTCTCTCTCTCTCTATCGCTATCGCTGTCGTCCTGTTTGGCATTTTGGGCAATGGGCGCGCGCCATATACCCCACACGATATGGGCGCACATTCACGACGGGTATCACCCCGGTATTCCGACTGATCTCCGCAGGCGGCGACCACACCACTAACTACTACTGCTCCAATCTCCCTGTGCCCGCTGCCCACAACTCACGTCGCCATCTCCGACACCCCAGCTCAAGCTTGGCATTCACAAGCTCTGACCGGACCATCGGCATTGTCGGTGCCCTTTCTCTCCTAGCCCCTGATCCATAGATCGGATCGCAGCAACGCGATATTTTCCGATGGCCGGGTAGACACGGGTGTATATCCGGCTGTCCACGCCCACGTGCTTTGTGCAATGTTTGTACTGCGCCTCGAACAAAATGGTTGAATTGCTGCTACAGTAGTTCTTGCCGTGCGGCTCTCGCGCTCTCACGGCTTGCCCAACTTTCGCATGCGCATCGTTCAATTGTGGGACTTGTATTACATTCACGCGTGGTCAAAGGGCTAGCATGGCCGGCTTGTTCGCAGCCCGGAAAAGCCTCGGACGGGCAGAAAGCTAATCTTGCCGCCGGTATCGATGGCCAATGGCGCCGCATGCGCCGCGTGGCATGTATTCATGCGAGTGTTACGACCAGCAGCATTTGTGGCGCACCAGCATGCAAGCACGCTTGTGCCGCTTGCTGCCTGCCTGCACACCATGCAGACCAGCCATCTCAGCCCGCATCACCTCCGCTCCATCCACGCCACTCTCGCCGCCTGCTACTCTGCTCTGCCACTCTGCCCCCGCTGCCCCGTTGCCACTCCGCCACCCAGCCCAAAAGCCAAAAGTACATCATTAGGCAGCACCCTACATAATCACACAGTCGTCCTTGTCCCCGCCCATGCGGTCCACGAGGCCGCCGGCGTCGCGCGTGCGCCCCCCCATCTGCCGCCCCTGCAGGTCGACAACCAGCACGCCCGAATTATGCGGGTCGATCTCGGCAGAGAGGTTGTATCTGGCGTGAGCGTGCCCCGCCCGCCACTCACTTGTCCATCATCTCGGCGACAGCAGGCTTGATCTTGGCCTGCCGGTTCACAGAGTGGTTCCCCTTGCCCGTGATGATGCGCAGCTCGTCGAGCCCCGCGCGCTGCCCGCCGGATATGGCCTTCTCGACCTGCTCCAGCGCTTCGCGGACGTACAGGCCGTGCAGGTCGATCGTGCCGCGCGGCTGGTCTTTGTTGTTTTCTGGCGTCAGGGGGGGTGAAGTGGGGCGCAGAGTCTGCCATCTGCCCTTTGCCAATGCCGAGCGGCAGGCCCTACCAAACTGCAGACCCACGCATCGATGCGACGATGTGACGATGGCTGCGCCCCCGGCCTCGTTGCACTCACCCCGGAAAATCCACTCGGCCGCCTGGTCGTCCAGCTGGTCCTGCTTGGCTTGGTGCCGCTTGCCCTCTTGGCTCAGGTCGTGCGCGCGCCCCCCGTCGCCGGATCTGTACGCGGCTTGGGAATCGGCGAAGCATCTGTGTGAGCGCTGATCCGATTTCCGTGCATCTCTCCGATCTCGTCCTCTCCGCGCCTCGTCATGTTCTCTCTTTTCCGTTCTTCCTCTTTTCTCATCTCG